TTTTTCTAGAGACAGAGTCTTACTCTGTCACCCAGGCATCTCACTGAGTGCAGTGACACCATCTCAGCTCACTGCAACCTCCGCCTTCTGGGTTCAACTGATTGTCCTGCCTCAGCCTCCTGAATAACTGGGACTACATGCACGCGCCAACATGCCCAGCTATTTCTTGTGTTCTAGTAGAGACGGGCTTCATCATATTGGCCAGGATGGCCTTCATCTCTTGACCTCGTGATCCGCCCACCTCAGCCTCCCAAAGTGGTGGGATTAAAGGTGTGAGCCACTGCGCCTGGCCTCCCAGCCTAGTTTCCTAGTTTATTTTCCAGTTGGTTTTCAGAAGACCCTTCCTGGTTCAGAAAACCCATCCACTTAAATCTTAATATTTAACGTACTGCTCTCTCTACTGCCTCCACTCCAAGAAGGCCACCTCATCAAAAAGCCCTAAAAGCCGGGGAGGAAGGCTCAGTATCACTGAGCATCTGGGACCTTCGCAGACAGCTGCAGGAACTTGGTCGGGCTACGAGAGCTTTCCTCCCCCACCAGCTGAATCCCACCCTGCCACGCCTGCCCAGAAACGGAGTTACTGGCAACTCTTGTATCATAAAGGGAGAGCCCTTTACAGGAAAAAGACATAGATGAAGCTGGTGAGGCCAAGAGCTCTGCCTTCCTCTTCCCGGTGCGGGCCTGACTCCTGCCAGGCTTTCCAAGGGAGCAGTGGTTCCTGTGTCCCGAGGAACTGAGCACTCCACGGGCAATGGACACGTCCAGGCCTCCTCGGTGGCGAGGGACCTCGAGGCCCTCTGGCGTGCCCCAGGCTCTCCATCCCCGACCCCAAAGGTCCAGGGCAATCGCTGCCTCCGACTCTATTCCCGGGGACCCCGGTGCGCTGCAAAGCCCCTGTGAGGTGCAACCCTGGGTCCCGGGGAGCCGACAGAGCGAGTCTCCGCCCCAGGACGGAGTCCCCCTGACGCTCGCCCCCTCTCCCGGGCAGCGGGCACCGCGCGCCGCGGACCCCGGGCGTTCTACGACCAGCCCTGGTCTCAGCTCCGAGCGCGGGCAGGCCCGGGGCCGGGAGCAGCTTGAGTTTGCCCCGCGGGGTCCCCCACGGCAGAGTCCCCGCACTCCGGACCTCCTCTTCGGGGTCTCTGTGCGCCCAGGCCTCCCTGCCCCGAGCTCTCCGGGCCCCCGGCGAGGACCTCGGCCCGGCTCCCGCCCCCGCTCACCATGACGCCGCGGACAAGCCCAGCCGCGACCCGGGTCCAAAGCGCCAGCCCCGCGGAAGCCGCGCCGTTTCCCGGCAACCGTTGGGCGACGCCGCGGTAAGTCGCAAGATCTCGCGAGACTCCGCCCGGCGGCAGCCAAAGGCCGGCGCGCGTCCGTAGAGACGGGCGCGCGTCCGTAGAGACGGGCGCGCGTCCGTAGAGACGGGCGCGCGTCCGTAGAGACGGGCGCGCGTCCCTAGAGACGGGCGCGCGTCCCTAGAGACGGGCGCGCGTCCCTAGAGACGGGCGCGCGTCCCTAGAGACGGGCGCCGGGAGGAACCGCACGCGAGGACGCTGGGAGGATCCCGCTGGCGGCGCGGACGCCTTTCGCCGCAGGACGCGCTCCGTTTTTTTGCGGGAACCTCAGCTCCCAGAGGGAGGACCGTTCACTTCTATCCTTCAGCGCCCAGTGCAGCTCCCGGCAGGTGCTCAGTGGCTGAATGAGTGAATGAAGGACCCGTGAATGAATGATCCATCTGCCACCCAAGGCTCGGGGACGTCACCCACAGGGGATTCAAACCTGGGCAGAGACTGCCCCCGGGACTCGCCGCCCCCGCCCGCCTTCGCGGCCCTCCCAGCTGCGGCGCGGGCGGGCTTAGGCACGCTCAAAACGCAGGAATAGGAAAGAGAAACCAGCGAGTATCCCCTCACGAAGATAACCGCTCTTCCCGAAGAGGCGCCCCCCAGTCCTCAGGGATGACGAGCAAGGCCCTGCAGAAAACAGCTGCACTTCCCGGTCTAGCAAGTCTCTCGTTCTGAACGCTACTGGCCATTTTACAGTTGCTACAGTGAATTTCCCGTCCCCGACACCACCCTGTTGCCTGCACACAACCATCTGTGTCACCCAGAAGGCCGTCATGAGCAGGCACTTCTTTTTCCTTTCTTTTTTTTTGGACGAGGAGTCTCGCTCTGTTGCCCAAGCTGGAGTGGTGCAGTGGCGTGATCTCGGTTCACTGCAGCCTCCACCTCCTGGCTTCAAGCAATTCTGCCTCAGGCTCCCAAGTAGCTGGGACTACAGGTTCATGTCACCACTCCTGACTAATTTTTGTATTTTTAGTAGAGATGGGATTTCACCATGTTGGCTAGGATGGTCTCGATCTCTTGATCTCATGATCCACGTGCCTTGGCCTCCCAAAGTGCTGGGATTACAGGCGCGAGCCAATTTTTTTTAGACAGGATCTCCTTCTGTCTCCTAGGCTGTGATCACAACTCACTGCAGCCTCAACCTCCTGGGCTCAAACAATCCTCCCACTTCAGCCTCCTGAGAAGCTGGGACTACAGGTGTGAGACACCACACCCGGCTTTTTAGAAAAAGTTTGTTATAGAGACGGGGTCTTACTTTGTTGCCCAGACTGGTCTAACTCCTGGCCTCAAGCAATCCTCCTGCCTTGGCCTCCAAAAGTGCTGGGAGCACAATGTGAGCCCCACACCTGGCCCTAAACTCTCAACCTTAACGTCTTCTTAAAAAGTGGTCATCTTGGCCAGCATGGTGGCTCATGCCTGTAATCCCAGCACTTTGGGAGGCCGAGGCAGATGGATTACCTGAGGTCAAGAGTTCAACACCAGTCTGGCCAACATGGAGAAACCCCGTCTCTACTAAAAATACAAAAATTAGCCCGGTGTGGTGGTGCATGCCTATAATCCCAGCTACTTGGGAGGCTGAAGCAGGAGAATCCTTGAACCCAGGGGTTGCCATGAGCCAAGATTTCGCCACTGCACTTCAGCCTAGGCAACAAGAGTGAAACTCCATCTCAAAAAAAAAAAAGTAGTCATCTACTTCGGAGGTTGAGGTGGGAGGATTGTTGGAGCCCTGGAGGTGGAAGTTGCAGTGAGATCACACCACTGCACTCCAGCCTAGATAACAGAGTGAGACCCGAGAACCTGTCGCAAAAAAAA